GTACCGGGGGTCTCGTGGGGGGGGAGGGGGGGACGTGTGGGGTCTGCAGGGCCCGGCCAGGTGTGAGTGTGCACAGGTGTGAGTGTGAGTGCAGGTGTGAGTGTGCACAGGTGTGAGTGTGAGTGCAGGTGTGAGTGTGTGCGGGTGTGAGTGTGTGTGCACAGGTGTGAGTGTGAGTGCAGGTGTGAGTGTGCAGGTGTGTGCGTGTACAGGTGTGAGTGTGCAGGTGTGAGTGTGCAGGCAGGTGTGAGTGTGCACAGGTGTGAGTGTGAGTGCAGGTGTGAGTGTGCACAGGTGTGAGTGTGAGTGCAGGTGTGAGTGTGCACAGGTGTGAGTGTGAGTGCAGGTGTGAGTGTGCACAGGTGTGAGTGTGAGTGCAGGTGTGAGTGTGCACAGGTGTGAGTGTGAGTGCAGGTGTGAGTGTGCACAGGTGTGAGTGTGAGTGCAGGTGTGAGTGTGCACAGGTGTGAGTGTGAGTGCAGGTGTGAGTGTGCACAGGTGTGAGTGTGAGTGCAGGTGTGAGTGTGCACAGGTGTGAGTGTGAGTGCAGGTGTGAGTGTGCACAGGTGTGAGTGTGAGTGCAGGTGTGAGTGTGCACAGGTGTGAGTGTGAGTGCAGGTGTGAGTGTGCACAGGTGTGAGTGTGAGTGCAGGTGTGAGTGTGCACAGGTGTGAGTGTGAGTGCAGGTGTGAGTGTGCACAGGTGTGAGTGTGAGTGCAGGTGTGAGTGTGCACAGGTGTGAGTGTGAGTGCAGGTGTGAGTGTGCACAGGTGTGAGTGTGAGTGCAGGTGTGAGTGTGCACAGGTGTGAGTGTGAGTGCAGGTGTGAGTGTGCACAGGTGTGAGTGTGAGTGCAGGTGTGAGTGTGCACAGGTGTGAGTGTGAGTGCAGGTGTGAGTGTGCACAGGTGTGAGTGTGAGTGCAGGTGTGAGTGTGCACAGGTGTGAGTGTGAGTGCAGGTGTGAGTGTGCACAGGTGTGAGTGTGAGTGCAGGTGTGAGTGTGCACAGGTGTGAGTGTGAGTGCAGGTGTGAGTGTGCACAGGTGTGAGTGTGAGTGCAGGTGTGAGTGTGCACAGGTGTGAGTGTGAGTGCAGGTGTGAGTGTGCACAGGTGTGAGTGTGAGTGCAGGTGTGAGTGTGCACAGGTGTGAGTGTGAGTGCAGGTGTGAGTGTGCACAGGTGTGAGTGTGAGTGCAGGTGTGAGTGTGCACAGGTGTGAGTGTGAGTGCAGGTGTGAGTGTGCACAGGTGTGAGTGTGAGTGCAGGTGTGAGTGTGCACAGGTGTGAGTGTGAGTGCAGGTGTGAGTGTGTGCGGGTGTGAGTGTGTGTGCACAGGTGTGAGTGTGAGTGCAGGTGTGAGTGTGCAGGTGTGTGCGTGTACAGGTGTGAGTGTGCAGGTGTGAGTGTGCAGGTGTGAGTGTGTGTGCACGGGTGTGAGTGTGCAGGACCCAGGCAGGTGTGTGAGTGTGAGCTCTGTGAGTGAGTGAGAGCTCTGGGAATGTGTGTGCATGTGTGAGTGTGAGTGTGAGCTCTGTGAGTGAATGTGAGCTCTGCGTGTGAGTGTGAGCTCTGTGTGTGAGCTCAGGGCCTGTGTGACCACCCCTGTGTGATCCCCGTGTGTGAACTCCGTGTGTGATCCTGTGTGAGTGTGAGCTCTGTGTGAGTGTGACCTCTGTGTGTGTGCTTGTGCTCAGTGCATGCTCGTATGCTCTGTGAGTGTGTGTGAGCTCTGTGCACGTGTGAGCATCCTGTGTGTGATCCTGTGAGTGTGAGCTCCGAGTGTGATCCTGTGTGAGTGTGAGCTCTGTGTGTGATCCTGTGTGAGTGTGAGCTCCGTGTGTGTGTATTCTGTGAGTGTTCACGTTCAGTTCATGTGTGTGATCCTGTGTGTGATCCTGTGTGAGTGTGAGCTCCGTGTGTGAGTGTTCTGTGAGTGTTCACGTTCAGTTCATGTGTGTGATCCCTGTGTGTGTGTGCCCCATGAGTGTGTGTGTGTGCACGCTGTGTGTGTGTGTGTGAGCTCCGTGTGTGTGTTCTGTGAGTGTTCACGTTCAGTTCATGTGTGTGATCCCTGTGTGTGATCCCTGTGTGTGATCCTGTGTGTGAGCCCTGTGTGTGTGATCCTGTGTGAGTGTGAGCTCCATGTGTGTGTGAGCTGTGTGTGAGTGTTCTGTGAGTGTTCACGTTCAGTTCATGTGTGTGATCCCTGTGTGTGATCCTGTGTGAGCCCTGTGTGTGATCCCTGTGTGTGATCCTGTGTGAGCCCTGTGTGTGATCGTGCATTTTGGGTGTATTTTGGGTGTATTTCAGGTCTGTTTCAGGTGTATTTTGAGTGTATTTCGGGTGTACTTTGGGTGTATTTCAGGTGTATTTTGAGTGTATTTCAGGTGTATTTTGGTTGTATTTTGGGTGTATTTTAGGTGCATTTTAAGTGTATTTATAGTGTATTTTGGGTGCATTTTGGGTGTATTTTGGGTGTATTTCAGGTCTGTTTCAGGTGTATTTTGGGTGCATTTTAGGTGCACTTTGTGTGTGTTTCGAGTGTACTTTAGGTGTATTCTAGGTGTATTTCAGGTGTATTTTGGGTGCATTTTAGGTGCACTTTGGGTGTGTTTCGGGTGTACTTTGGGTGTATTTTGGGTGTATTTCCTGCCTTTCCCATGCACTCACACATGCATTTTCATGCATTTTCTGTGTTTTCTGTGTGATTTTATGAATTTTCTATGTTCCCTTGTATTTTCCCCCATTTTCTCTATTTTCCATGCATTTTTTCCCATTTTCTTTATTTTCCATGTATTTCCCCCCATTTTCTATGTTTCCCACGTGTTTTTCCTGAATTTTCTATGTTTTTTATTCATTTCCCATGTTTCCCATGCCTTTTTTATCCATTTCTGTGTTTCCCATGTGCCCTTTTATGAATTTTCCATTTTCCCCACCTATTTTTCACCCATTTTCTACATTTTCCATGCATTTTTTACCCTTTTCTATGTTTCCCATGTATTTTTTACCCAATTTCTATTTTTCCCACCTATTTTTCACCCATTTTTTCTGTTTTCCATGTGGTTTTTACCCATTCCTGTGCTTCTCATGCCTTTTTAAAATTAATTTCCCATTTTCCCCACCTATTTTTTACCCATTTTCCATGTGTTTTTACCCATTCTCTATGTTTTCCATGAGATTTTTTATTAATTTCCCATTTTCCCCCTATTTTTCCCCCATTTTCCTTTTTCCATGTGGTTTTTTTTACCTATTCTCTATGTTTTCCATTATGTTTTTTATTAATTTCCCATTTCCCCCCCTATTTCCCCCCCCATTTTCCGTTTTCCATGTGGTTTTTTTTTACCCATTCTCTATGTTTTCCATGAGATTTTTTCCCATTAATTCCCATTTTCCCCCCTATTTTCCCCCATTTTCCGTTTTCCATGTGGTTTTTTTTTACCCATTCTCTATGTTTTCCATGAGATTTTTTCCCATTAATTCCCATTTTCCCCCCTATTTTCCCCCATTTTCCCTTTTCCATGTGTTTTTTACCAATTCTCTATGTTTTCCATTATGATTTTTATTAATTCTCTATTTTCCCCCCTATTTTCCCCCCATTTTCCGTTTTCCATGTGGTTTTTTTTTACCCATTCTCTATGTTTTCCATGGGGTTTTTTTTCCCATTTTCCGTTTTCCATGTGTTTTTTTTTACCCATTCTCTATATTTTCCATGAGATTTTTTTCCCATTAATTTCCTATTTTTCCCCCATTTTTCTCCCCTCCCATCCATTTCCTCCGCCTCCCCCGCCCCGCTGTCCCCCCG